TGGAACAATTTTGCAGTAAAAGTTTCAGTCGGGGTTTTAGTTGTTGAGTTTTTCGCTTGTCTCTGATGAGCCAAAAGAGGAAGGGGGAAATGCTAGGTTTTTTTTCTCCTGAATGGTGCGCACATTGTCAGTTCATGGGAGCTGAATAATCATTGCTGGGTGTTAAGTCTCAGATTTTCTGACTATTTTAAAGCAACACAGGGGCAGCTGCAGTTGTTTTACACTGAGGAATTTCAAAGAATCATCATATGCTTCCTTTTTGTGGTTGAAATGCTTAAAATATTCCTGTTCCTAAAGTAAGCTGAATTTACACACATCTATATGTATATATAAACAAACACACACTGAGGCTTTAAGTCTTCTGGGGGAAAAAATATTGTAGCAGTAGAAGTAGGAATACATTTGAGTTATTCTGGGGGACTATGAAAGCATCAAAAAAATAAATACAACATATAAAAATAGCAAAAATCAGGCATTCATAAGGATTGGGAGATATTCCATTGGCTTTGCTCATTTGCATGTCAATGCCATAATGCCATGCCAGAGCAGAGCGGCTCCATAGCAGCACTGGTGTCTAAGCCCAAGGGAACAATGTGAGAGGTCATATCAGCACATTTGTAGGTTCACTGATTTCTTTTCAGTGTGCTCTGGAAAACAAAACCAAAGTGGAGAGACAGGAGCTGTGTCCTATGTGGTGATTTGTTGCTGACCTTTCAGGTCTTCAGCACAACAAGCATGGTGGTTGGTTTTCCAGCCCCACATGCTTTAAGTTCCACAATGTAGTGGAATGAGAAATGCTTGAATTCCTCTGTGGGCTCTGCTGTTGTATGTGGCTGTAGCTTCACGGTTAGCACAGCATCTGTCTAGGTATGCCTTGACTACCAGCTTTTCCATGCCTGAACTTAAGGTCAGGATGGCTTAGGCTGAAATAGGAGCAGTCAGCTTTAATTATCACTCTGTCAACTTCTGTAAAGCCTTTTATCTGAATGTTCCAGGGCATTTTATGGGTGTTAAGGGGGAAATTTGGCTCTGTTATACACACACAGCTTCCTTCAAGGGAGCTTTATATGTGGCTCTGATTTGCACCCATTAATGAAGTTTTACACTATCACATCAGTAAATGCTCTTGGGAGGCACAGCTCCAGCAGCTGAGTGACACGGAAAGCAAACTATGCAGGTATGTAGGGTGAGAACAGGTAAGATACTTGGGTCTGCGGATGGGAAGGGTAAGCAAGCTTGATGAGAAGCTCCTCCTGCAGTAGTTACATAAATAAAGTACTCTTCTGAAATGCTTGCTGCACTTTACTGATTTTTACTTTGGTCTCCTACACCTTTCATAGAATCACAGTATGGTTTGTGCAGGGACACCTTCCACTAGAGCAGGTTGCTCCAAGCCCCATCCAACCTGGTCTTGAGCACTGCCAGGGATGGGGCAGGCACAGCTTCTCTGGGCACCCTGTGCCAGTGTCTCAGCACCCTCATAATGAAGGATTTTTTCCCTAATCACAGCCCTGGTTTTTGTGGTTCATGCTCTCAGGTGGGCAGTGTTCCCTGTAGGCTTAACTCTGGGCTGCTACCTTCATTAGATAGTTAAGAATTAAGAAGTCATGGTTCCAAGACTCTATTTTCTTACTGGAGCTAGCTCCAAGTTGTCTCACCATGCTTAAGATGACTGTTTGAGCAAGTCCAGCTGTTGCCACAGGGTAAACACAAATAGCTACTCTGAATTAGCCTTACTAATACAGCTACAACCAATTATATTTATTCATTTTTTAAATGCCTGGCAACTTATGCCAGGACCCCACCATGCTGATGCTGTAGTACCAAAGTAACAGGAGACTGGTGAAGAAAGCCAAATTCCCTAAAACTAAATTCGTGAAAAGTAAGAGCTGCCAATATATGCAGCACTTTTTGGCCTATCACTATGTGCCAGTTTTAGCTTGTCACTGCTGGCAGTAGGCAGAGAATGTGAGTGATTTTCATTACTTACCATTTCCCTGCCAATGTAGATAACCAGAACATTCTTCCACCTCACTGATGTGCATTGTGACTTCTTTCTTTTTTCTCAGTTACAAAACTTTAAACTACCCTTTTTATGCAGGAACTTCATCAGGCCTTAAGCCTATAATTTATTTACTGGATTGAAGTTGTCTCATTGATTTCAGTTCTGTTTTACACTTGCATACACCTTCCTGGACAATGTATGCTGGACAGCCTTTGTGTAGTTTCATCTGTTAATGATGATAAAATCTTCTCCTCTCTGCCCTGATAGCTTCAGAACCAGGAAGGGAATCCAGAACCTTAAACTTTCCTTCCTTCACCTTGGTCATGGAATATGTACAGACAGCTGGATTGACAGGCAGCATAACTACCCAGCTGGGGAGCATGACATCATGTTATAGAGTCATAGAATCGTTAGGGTTGGAAAGGACCTTAAGATCATCTAGTTCAAACTCCCCTGCCATGGGCAGGGACACCTCACACTAAACCATCTCACCCAAGGCCTCGTCCAACCTGGCCTTGAACACCACCAGGGATGGAGCATTCACAGCTTCCCTGGGCAACCCATCCCAGTGCCTCACCACCCTAAACAGGAAAGAATTTCCTCCTCATATCCAAACTAAACTCCCCCTGTTTAAGTTTGTACCCGCTACCCCTTGCCCTAGCACTACAGTCCCTAATGAAGAGTCCCTCCCCAGCATCCCTATAGGCCCCCTTCAGATACTGGAAGGCTGCTATGAGGTCTCCATGCAGCCTTCTCTTCTCCAGGCTGAACAGCCCCAACTTTCTCAGCCTGTCTTCATACAGGAGGTGCTCCAGTCCCCTGATCATCCTCGTGGCCCTCCTCTGGACTTGTTCCAACAGTTCCATGTCCTTTTTATGTTGAGGACACCAGAACTGTACACAGTACTACTCCAAGTGAGGTCTTACAAGAGCAGAGTAAAGGGGCAGGATCACCTCCTTTGACCTGCTGGTCACGCTCCTTTTGATGCAGCCCAGGATGCGGTTGGCTTTCTGGGCTGCAAGCGCACACTGAAGCCGGCTCATGTTCATTTTCTCATCAACCAACACCCCCAAGTCCTTCTCCACAGGGCTGCTCTGAATCTCTTCTCTGCCCAACCTGCAGCTGTGCCTGGGATTGCTCCAACCCAGGTGTAGGACCTTGCACTTGGCATGGTTAAACTTCATGAGGTTGGCATCAGCCCACCTCACAAGCATGTCAAGGTCCCTCTGGATGACAAGTGTTATCAATAAGGCACAGTTTGTGACAGTAACTAAAGGTTTTTAGTAAGCCAGCTAGAAAGCAGATGTTGCCGTTAATCTATCTCATGTTTGGTAATCACACTTTCACATAGTGAACTTTACCTTCCATACTGTAGCTATGACTGTCTAAGCATATAAGCAAGGTCTACAAGGGAAGAGAGGTAAAATAATTTGTTTTACTATAAGGTAACTACCTTATAGTAACTTACTACTACTGTCTTGCTTGTGTTCTTAGACCATCAGGACAACAATAATGCTAATTGGTTGGCATTAACAAGCCTTAATTATTCTGTTCATGAGCTGGGAAGTGACTTTGAAGGCTACATGTTGCTTGCTCAGATTTGCTTCATGATTCAGTGGCTAATTTCTTTGTCCCTTCTCAGAGTATTTATTCACATAGCGGAACAAATAATGGCCAAGTTTGAGAAAAGTGAGAGCTAATTTAAACCATCAGTTCAAGACTTTTGGTGCGTTCAGGACATAATTTAATGTTTTTGTTAACCTTAGCAATTCTATTTCTGGCATAAACAAAAAAAATGGAGTCTTCCGTTAGGGTATGCTCAGTCACTCCATCACTTTCTCTGAGGCAGTTATCAGTTTACCTGTCTTTAAAGGACAGCATCTGCCCTGACCACTACTTTAAGGTTCACTTTCTGAATTAATCCCTGCAGTTCTGTGTCTTAACCTCTGACTTACAATACTTATTTCACCATCTGTGTTGGTATAGATCAGCCTGTGTTTCACACCTCTTTGCAATCTGTCTCTGAAATCAGCAAAGTTGAGAAACAAAACATGATAAATCTTAATGGTGGGAAGGCAGTGTTTAGAGAAAATGTTTTTGATGGCAAAACAATGTTGTTTTCTAGCTTTCAATTAATTAGTGCAAACGTACATAGTTTCTTCATATGCCCCGGAGGGTGCCAGTGGTCTTTGATTCCTTTTATATCCAAGTCATACCACCCTGAAACATGTCTGTAAGCTCCTGATGAACTTCCTACCTGATAAGGTGTCCGCATTGACCATTTCGTAACCCTTGAAGTCTGAAAGACTATTCCTGTTCTTCACATTAGGCTTCTGTTTCAGAATGAGGGTCTGGTCATCCCTTCAGGTAATTTTTGTAGGCAGATTGAATCTCTGCTTTTATCTCTTCCTCCTGGGGGGGAGCTGAACCTTCACTAAAGTGTTTCTGAAAGTCTGCGAAGAACTCTGCTAATTGTGCTTATGTGTTTGCTTCCACATGATTATGCTCAGCTGTTTAGCTGAACTCTAAGAACTGTCAAGCCTCATTATCTAATCATACCTTCAGTGAAAAAATTGGGTCTGACAGCTTCATGGACATAAATGCCCTCTAGTGACTGGTGTTCACTGTAAGGAGCTGTACTTGTGTAGAGCCTGTGTATTCTTCAGAAAACATTTTCTTTCCCTGTCTTGAAGTGTTACTTAACTGGTCTCTTGGACATTTATTGGTCTGTTATGGGAAGCTAATGAAGCTTGTTTATTTTGGGGAAACAGTTGCTCTTTATTCTTTCCTTTTAGCTTCATACTTGTATTAAAAATACTGCATGTGAAAACCCCTCGACATCTCTGTGTTTGCTCAGCTTTTCTTTAACTCTTTTTCCAGATAGCAGGAGCTGATAATAGCTGTCACTTCCCTGATGAACCCTGATGTCACATTCTCACCCAGTCTGGAGTAGCCCCTCTGTAACTAGTCTTACTTGGTTAGTTGTATTTCTCCACAGATGGAAAAACTTTGTTCTCCCTAAAAAGCAGGAGAACCGAAACAGGAGGGTTTGGACTGTCTGGTTGTGTTCCCAGCTCTCACTGAGAGATCACTTCTACAAGTAAATCTTTTATTAAAAACCCCAGACTAGTACTTGTGTCCCCAGTTCCTGGATTTTGCTTCTGTTAGCTGGGGTTCAGGCATCCAAGGAGCACTGTTGTAGACAGTACAAGATGTCAGCTGCCTTGGAGACCCCCTGCCCTTTAGCTAGGTAGTGCCAAGCCCTCCGGAGAAGACCCTAGTACTGCTGCTCATTGACCTCTGGATGCTTAGGTCTCTGCTCCCAACCCATGCTCTAGTGTAGACCATGCATTAGTGTAGACCAAGTCCATTGAAGTGGCACTTAACCAGAGCTTTGAATCTAGACCTTATCCAAGTTGTCACCATATCAAGAGGTGTCTTTCTGCCGCTTGAATGGGAGATGCAGGTCTTGTTCATTGGCAAAAGGCATTAAGGCCACAAGAGGCACGATTCGTTGCAGACTTGAACCAGGAATCCTGAACACTTAGTGCTACACTCCTCCTCAGCTAGCAATCACCCAGGTTGGATCTGCTATGGTTCATGCAAACCTGCTCTCTTGTTCTGAGGCAGGTTCACCTGACTCCTGGAAGTCCTTCATCCTTATGTCTGTGCCGGCTTTCTGGGGCTGCTGGCTCTTTGTTTCTGGCAGCCCCTGCTGAGGTCCCACACATGCAGCTGCTGCTGATTTGCATGCGTGTGCATTGCTGCCAACAAGCTGCTGCTTGGCCACCTACACTGACCCTTCCTGGTTGGGTTTGGATTTTGTTTCTTTTAATGCTGCTAATCCCCAAATCTTATGTAGGACAAATACAGGACAGCTAAAGAAAGATGCTTTTTTTGGCAAGAAAGCCTCACAAATGTCTGTAGTAAGCACGTGAGTGCTACCCAGAGACGGGGGGAGGTATTAGTCTAGCCTGACTTGTTTTGGGCCTTTTAAACTAGGGTATTTCCAATATTTGCTATAGAAACATCTTCTGTATGCTTTTATGCATGTGTATGTCTCTTTTCCATGTTACTCTTAGAAGGATTTCTCATCCAATTCATATGCTTGTCACTTTTGGGTGTCATTGCCTCCTGCCATGCTAATTAAACCAAGAACGGGGGGAGGGAGCAAATAGCCATACAAATAAAAAAATACAGGCTTGTCATATTTGACAAAGGCATGATGTTAAAAGAGAGGGTTTTCAACACCATAACTGCTTCCTTGTTACACCTAGCTAAGGGAAAATGCAACTCATGTTGTGGTTTTTAGTGATTAAGTGGTTAATGATTTAATGAACTAAAAAAAAAAAAAATCTCATTTGTTGCATCCCTTGGACTCAGAAAAAACCTCAAAGAGCTGATTTTCTGTGTACCTCAGTCCAATATTGCTACCTGCTGGGATATGAACACAATCTCTAAATAAATTGCAAGTGGCCTTGGGCAAATGGAAGAGTTTCGCTTTGATCTTGCTAGAGAGAATGAAGTCAAATGTTCAATCAATCAAATTCATAACTTCTAGCTACAATCGGCCTGACAACAGCCTATTATTTATTTTTAAAATCGTATATTTCATTATTGCAAAACACACAGTCTCTCGTGGGGGGGGAAAGACTAAATTATTGATAAGCCTTATATGTGACTGAGTTTGTTGGTTTTGACATGCTTGTCACTAACTATTGTCAGGAAGAATTTACTAAGATGTTTAGTCTGAAAAGTTGGCTGGGATTGTGTGTTGTGCCACATTTAAACTGGGTAGAGGAAACTTTAATAGCCTCTTTCTTCCTGAATTCCTAGTTGGTAAAGACAGCTGAAGGCAGATTGAGCTTTCTACTGTGAAAACAATGCATTAGAACAAGCATCCTTTGTTTTAATTGCTGCAAACCAGATGATTCAGGCTCTGAAGTTATCCACGAGTGGCGATATGAAACTTTTACTTGGTTTGTGTATTTCTGAAGGCAGCAATTCTCAGTCTGCAGAATACTTATATAAACAGGAAAGGGAGAACAATTAACCCCACACCTCAAGAATCTGTTTGCACTGGTGTCTGTCAAAAGCATCTGAAGAGTAGGGAACAAGAGTGTATCAGAGAAGTCTGTAGGCAGACTTGCTTCTCATAGTCATCCTATTATACAAAAGCATTTATAGAGATGCTACAATGGGTACTTCTTCCAACTCAGCTAGGGTTTGTGAGGAAGCTGTGCCTACACCTAGATGCAGCTCCAATATGGCTCAGAGGACCCCGTGATTGACCTATCGCCGTGTGCCTGGTAATGGATAGAGTATCTGTAGGAAAGCCATGACCTTTTCACTCCCCTGTTGCTATTTATGTGACCCTTACAGTTCTTGCTTGTCTGTAAATAGTTGCTATCAGGAGACCTAGGTCCCTGGATATGTCTGAAGGTGTTTGTGGCAATACCTGAGCACCACAGGAAAGAGTTGAAATCCTGGCTCTTTTGAAGTCAATGGATGTTTTTTATAATGGACTTTTTAAGGTCAGGATTTTGTCCTCCTGCTCCTTTAGTCATTACTGGGCAGACCAAAGAACCAAGGCAAGTGCTATGATTCTAATCCAGCTGAGATACACCAGCTTGTACCTTTTGTGCAATATGAGGAAAAATAGCAACCAGTGTAAAGTAACTGAGGCATGGTGAATCTAATCAGTACTAAAAACATCCACATATGTACTATATGTATATACATAGATATTCTTTGCATCCGAACAGATTCATAAGGACTTAAGCATTTGAGTGATTAGCATGTAAAGCTTTCAAAGCCTCGCAAAGATGCTATATAATGTATCTCTGTGAATACATAAGAGATACAGCTTCCAATGTACCCTGGATGAACAATTAATGAAACTGCATCTGTCTGATTTTTTTTTCCAAACAAGAAATTATTAACTTCAGCCTTGCAGATAGCCTAAATACAGAAAATGTAATTTCTTCCTTCTTGCTGACACAACTCCTGAACAGATTGAAGGAGGCAGATTAGTAATACTGCCCTGGTTTTGCTGGAGGAAAAGGCAGGGATAGCTCCTTCAACCCTGTAGCCTGGGTTCAACCCCAGAACCTTTAGGTCTGATGCCTGTTCTTTGTTATGGTGACTTCCCATCAACCTTAGCTGTGCAGGATGAAATTATCTCTTCTGATTTGAAAACAGATCTCTGCCATCCTTTGGATCAGCTGCTTATTCTGCACCTATTCCTCAAGCAGAGGTTTGGTACGTAAGAATTCTGCAGTATATGCAGAAAACACCCAAATGGTGAATGAGACCTGTTGTTTTCTGTGTAATTATTGCACTCTTAACTCAGACAATCAGAATCTATTCCTACCATCATTTAGCTCTGTCAAGTGGAGTCTATTTATAAGAGGAATTTTTTTGGACCAAGTCTGGTTAAAAAAAAAACCACATCATCTGAGGTTAAAGTTGGCTAATGTCATGCTTAAAGGTACTTCATTTCAAGTGGTACTTCAGGGTTAAATTTTGATCCATGAGTATAATGAAAGTAAAAGTCTGCAGAAATGTCTAAAGCTTTAGCATCTCCCAGTTATAGGCCTTGAAAGACAATTCTGAAAGTCATTTTAATGGGATGGTGATGCTATTACAAAATCCATGAATGGGAAAAACTTTTCTTCCAAGTGCTGGTCTTCTCTGACCAAAAAAGGCCAAAAAACATCATTTTATTTCAGCTTAGTATAACATTGATCTAATTTCATTCTGATTTTGGCATGTCTTTATTTGAAATTAAATATTTCAGGTCAGTGGAAGAAGAAAAAACAAATGTTGCCATAATCCTCAGAATGTTGTGTTAGTCAGATAATGAAATTAAACATTTGACTGTGTTTGTTCCTGAACAATTTGTTCCATGAGCTTTTTGATGCTATTTCAAAATCTTATATTGATTTTGCAGCAGTGGAGTGTCCCATGTGTTAGAAGTTCCAAAAGAAGGTGAAGGAAAAGCTGAGCAAAAGGACTGATTTAATCAAAGTTTAGTGATCTTAAAGTTGAGAATCTTGCCCAGATCCTCTAGGGTCCTTCTGCAGGCACTGACTAAAAGAGGCACTTTCCAGGAGATGGTTTGTCCCAAGCAGTTGAGCATGGGCTACCTTTCTCCATAGGAACAGAAATAACTCCTAGAAGTAAAACTTGTATTTTTGAACTCTTTCTTCATCTCCCAGTTTTACCTGCTGTGCTTCACAGTTTGTCAGAAGCAGCAGTACAGAAAGTCTCTCAGCCTTTCTATGTCCCCCTGTTCAGACCTGTCAAACACCACCATAGATGCAACAGGCAGTCAATAAATCTGGGTGGCTTTTGGGAACTTTCCTTCCCAGTGCTTGCTTAGCAACTCTGATAAAGAGCTCATACTGTCTGTCTGGTTTGACATGTATGATGGTCCTATTTGCACCCAGGTTTGGATCCTGTCTGTGAATGCCTTTTAAGCCTCACACTAGTTCACACCTGTTGCAAAGCCTGGAAAATTAAGCTCAGGAAAGCTTTACTCCTGTGGCATCACTACTGCATGTAATTATAGACTGTAATGTTATTTTATTATGAAGGTTTAGCAAGATGAGCAGTTTGAGACGCTTAATGCCTAATGTGCAGTTCAACTTGGCTTTGATTTCCGTTATGAGATTTATTATCTCAGGGAATACGTGTTCCACTTGACACTGTCTTGTGCCCACCGAAGCTGGGTACACAGACTTTTTTTTAAGGTTAGAAAGATTTACTTGTTCTTTTTAATGTCCAGGACTAAGTTTTCACATGGAAATAATGTGTTGCCTAAGTATACTCTGATACTTCCGGCTATAAGAGTGGGATAGAATAATTTGCTTTATTTCTGTCTGTCTCAGCTATCTGAGAAATATTTCAAAGATTTTTCCTGCCCAGGTTTCCATTGGGCTCTAAGTGACTATTGTCTGTTTTCAGAAGTTCACAGCATATATCAAAATGTAGGAATGAATATCTCTTTCCTCTTAGCACGCACACAGGCTCAGATCATTGTGGGAGGGCAGTGCCAGTGTTGTGTACTTTGCCAGATGCTTAGCTGCTGTGATAATG